TGTCTTTCTGTTGCCTCAACTATGTTCTGGAATATTCAATATTTGCTGATTTCATTTCTAGTTTTTCATGGATTCATGATACTCGGTTTTGTCTCCACGGTGAATCTTCATTCTGTAAAACCACATTGGAAGGGTCCAATTACTTATACCGATAACCTTATCTGATATAATATTAGATTCTTAAACCATGCCGCCATTTCCTCTATCTGTGATTTGACCTATTGTTTGAACTATGTGCTTGTAAGATCTTCATATTTCTATGTCTCTTTCTGCTTTAATTTGCTTTTACTCTTTATGCTTCACGGATAGCTAAAATGTTTGAGCAATTATGTATGGTACTTTATTGCCTCTACTCACGTTTATTTCTTAAACCTACCTAGAGGACTTCACTGATTCCTACTTGGAAATTTATCGAGTATACTATCGCCTACAACAAATCTGATCTGTCTCATCTGTCTTTTGAGTGCTTCTATATCATTTCCAGTATTAAAAGTTCAGCTGTCAATCTCTTCTTAAAGTAATTTGCCCTATATGCAAAAAGAAGCCTATGTGATGCCTTTTTGGTTAGTGAAGATCTTTTGAAATTGTTTCCTGCCTTACCTCTCGAAGAAAAAAAGATCTTTGGGAATTGCATAAAAGCCAGATTCTCCCAACTAAGCATGTTCATAAAGAAATATTGCTATGTCTGGACCCCTCTGCAACAAAATAGTAAATTCCACGACAATGGGAGAAAATGAGAGAGGCTGGTGCACCTAATGTATGAACTACACTAGTATTGATGTGGTGGTATGAATATTAGGCTGACAAACTCACAAGTTCTTTAGGGTATTGGTACAGCAATGCGCAGCTACAATTGGAATCTAGAGTAGTACACAAATTTATGTGTAGACTAGTAGCGTGAAAGAAGGATTTAAGGCACATGTGGTTATAGTGATTATGCAGTGGACTCTAGATTCCCGAACATTGGGAGATTCTAGTGGCAGTTTGCAAAAGTCTCGGGTTTTTCAATCAAGCCTTCTGAAAAAGAAGTCTTTGTGGAAGTTTCCTACAAAGAAGGATCAATTAAAAAAGTCAACTTGGCTATATGAATCTCACTGACCACGTTCCCCTTTTAAGTTCATCTTAGACCGTGTTCCATGAACAAAACACGAAGGATAAACCAAATTGAGGACATAATAGTAATTCTGCATCGCCAGATTCCAAGTGGAAATAAAGCAATAAAAGCATATTCGAAAATCCTTGAGGGGGCAGTATCTGGCTAGACCGCGAGCCCAAATCACAATCAACTAGTAAAAGAAAGGTAAAAGAGCAGAAATGTCTGAATTGCCCAATAATGTGGCTGAATGGCAAGACAAATAGGATGAAACCTCTCACTTAATGTACATTAGATTAGGTTATCTGATTATTTCTTGCTTATTTTGCATGTAGTCCTTAATATTCCGATTGGTGATTTTCACTTTTGCTCTACAATATTATGTCTGTGACGCTTATAGATTATCATCTACTTTTGCGTGGTCTCATTTTATCCCCAATTCTATTTTCAACTGTGGAATCTCCTAAGAAGCCATGTCTTGCAAGGCTCATGAGTTTAAACCTCAAAACATTTCCCAATGTTTTGTCCATTAATGGAAAATTGCATCTGTTTGACGTAATGGTCTTATTGCTTATTGTGAACTCAATTAAGCGGCTATTCTTTTGGCACCTTCTTCTTTGATGATCATCTTCTTCAGCTGGCATTACATTTGTTGTTTCCCCTCTCAGAAAGTCATCGAAGAAACTATGGAGACAGTCCCACTTATGAAAGAGATTGTTGATTACTACAGTGGACCTGATAGAGTCACGGCAAAACAACAGCAACAAGAGCTGGAAAGAGTGGCAAAAACTCTTCCACAAAGTGCACCTAATTCAGTAAAGCGGTTCACGGAGCGTGCTGTTCTGTCTCTACAGGTCAAGTATTATCAACTGGTTATTTGCTTTCAGTAATAGCTTAAGCCTAATAAGAATGAAACAGTACGGAACTTCATTTTTTGAAAGTCCAGAATAGCAAATTGGTCTAAGAATGAAAGACACCTCTCTGAGCATAAAAGAAAAGAAAAACTAACTTATTATACAAGAAATCAACTATTTTCTTTATTTAGTATAATATTCCTGCCAAGAACTGTTATCGTCTTTTAATTATAAAAGAATAACTGTCTTCCCTTATTAGTAGTAGTTTTAAAATAGACTAGCACAACCACCCGTTTTTTCTAATATACTCAGTGGAGTTTTGTAGACACGTTGCTGTTGTGGGAGGAAGTATATCATTGAATGTTGAGGGACTAGACATTGCTTTTGTGGATGCCTACCTTTTTTGTGGTGTTCAATTTGACTATAATCAGTTTATCATAATTTTTCTTATTTCTTTTTTCTTTTTTTTTTTTATATTGAAGATTTTTTTTCCTTTGAAAGTTCTTATTACAGTTGATCTATTTATTTCTTTTCGTCAAGTAATCATGAATCTAGAAATAAAGATATCTTGAACTGTTTCATCTTTTACCTGGACGCTCGCTTCTTAAGTTTCTACTATGGCGCAATATCTGACAGTTATCTATCTAAACAGAGCAACCCAGGGTGGGGATTTGACAAGAAATGCCAGTTCATGGATAAGGCTGTATGGGAGGTTTCTCAGCATTACAAGTAGATCACTTCATTCTCTATAATCTTTAACGTTGAATTTGAGCAAGAGGTGCTTAAACAGCAGCATTATGATCAGGGTGGTGTTTAGGAACTACTGCAGTTCACGTTTGTTTATTAGAAATGCTGAGCATTTGGCTTCTGTTACGGACGTTTTTGATTTTTTGAGTTGTGACATATAACGGTAGTTTTGTTTTAAGGCTCTCCACCGGCATTGAGACATCTCAGTTTTCAATAATTTGAAGATGATTTCTGGTACCTTCTTAGAGCTCAGGGATTTTTTGGATTTGCTTAATACTAATGTAATGAAATAGATGGCCTACCTTCAGACATCTGTCTTGGCCGCAAGATACTAGGAGCATACTTCTGGAAATAATGATTTTCAACCCTCGATTTGGGGAGGTTAAATTTCTTGCAATTGTTCCTTTTGAATCACATGATTATTGTAAACCAAATTTCTTGCGACAGTAATCTTTTACGGGACATTGAGGATTACTGTAATGTTAGGTATAAATTTGAAAGTTTGGATTTATTATCCTGGGATGATCCTATTGAATTCCTTAGTTTTTTTCTAGCAAACTCAAATAAGTTAGAATGTTTATCCTTGTGGGATAACTGTACACAAGCAATTCACTCATTTCTTGTTTCCTTTTTGGTTTGTCGCAACATGTTCAGTATTTTATTTTTCAAGAAATCCACTTCTACATCAAACTAATTTAGAAAGTTAAAATTGTTTTAGTTGACAATCAGTATTGTGTAGGCTCTCGGTTGAATTCTATTCTAAGGTTAAAGCAATGAAGTACCTTCTCGTTTTTGTCGAGTTCTTTCTCATATATGTACTCCCTGTTATGTCTCTCTTTTCCACTGAGCCTTTTACTCTGATCTAAAATTAAGGACAGTGCCTGGGCTCAAAAGTTTGGGAACAAAATTCAATATATAGTAGAACTCAAGAAAGGTGAGCTGAGCTGGTAAGGAAAGTTATCTTAAGCTCCACTTGACAGGTGAAAATGTCACTTGTAACAAAATAGGAGACTCGCGACAAGTGAATAGTTGTCTTGGTGTACGACCTTGTTAGCTAGTCGACTTAAAAAGTTAATTTTGCTCTTTGGGCTCTATATTCTAATTATTCTCATTGCACAAAATTTAGTTGTCAGTACTTTAGATTTCAAAGAGTAAAAAATAGCATGGGCTAGCCAGTTGTCGTACTAGTCATTGAAAAATAGCCAGCGTTTGCAAAGTAATTGAAAAATAGCTACTATTTTGCTGCAATACGGAAAGTTCCAGCATAATATATTGGAGATTGGTGCACCTGTGTATGAACTTCTAGCATATTATGTTGAAACTCCAACACACGGAAAATTCTAGCAAAATATACTGGAGACTGGGGCACCTATGTATGAACTTCCAGCATATTATGCTGGACCAGTATATTATACTGGAACTCCAGTATACTGTGCTGGAATATTTTCCGGATTTTGAACAGTGTTTTCGTTCAGATTTATCTTTACATAAAAAGTGACTAAATTTCGATTACTTTTGTAACTGTGGCTATTTTTTCGTTACCACTTGTAAATCTGGCTATTTTTGCATTTCATCAATGTTCAATGTTAGATTGCAAAGTAATCAAGTGACCCATACTAGAAGATGGAAACTTAATCAAGTCACCACTGAAACAAACTAATTCCTGCAGTTTTGGAGAGAAAAAATTCAGTTTATGAAAGTCTCAAAGAGTAGAGAGGTGCTCAAACCACCAACCATCAATATCCTTTAAGTTGAAATCTCATTTGTACAAGTAGTTCTATCCAATTGCATAGAATCAAAATGTTGATGTTCTCTATCGTGAGTAATACCACTTTCATCAGCAAAAAGGGTTCAAGTTTCCCCAAAAGGTTATCAACTGCCTGAATGTAGAGCTACAAATGCCCCCACGAAGGGAAAGAATTTAGAATTTTTTGAAGAAGGTTGTGTGTATGCGCGAGCGTACTGATATATGAGATTGAAATAAGATGTATCCTTGTGCTAGCTTTTTGGAGTAGGGTGACAGATGTACCTGAAGCGGAGTAGAATTCCTTAGTTCGCAAAGGCAGATCCAGGATTTTTTATTCATGGGTGCTCAAGTGTCGTAAATGAACTTTTGATTTCTATGATGGGATGCTCAATCAATAATATTGTATATAATCACTAGTTTCCAATATAAAAGTGTATAATGTTTGGCTAAAATACAATGGGTGCTTAAGCACCCATGAGGTTGAATGTAGTTATAGTTCGTTACATGTACAGAAGGGACTGAGTTTTTGTACTTTCATAATGCAAATCTTCTCCGGCTATCACTTGAAGGGGGGAAATGATTTATACCTCATTCATTAAAAGAATTCCAAACTGCATTAAACAAAATCTAGAAGCAAGACTAACAACTAACAAGTAGAGCGCATGCTACATAAGTCATTAAATAATGCACAAATAGCAGATGATAAAAAAAACTGCTACAACTAGATGTTCAATATAGTGCGAAGATTACAAACTCGGGTATGGTAACATATCATAACCTCGTCTCATAAGTCAGCTTTACTGCAACAAATCATTTCTTCTTCACGTGGTCAGCGGCTATAGCTAAAACTCGATTCTTCAAGGTTAGGATCCGACAATGATGATCCACCTCCAAGCAGGAAACTGAAGCATCTCTTACACAGAAAACGACAAAGATGGATTTCGTGCCAGACATTGCATAAAAGAATGTACATGATGAAAGCGTGCTTTCAGGCGCAGCCTGATAGATGTTGGCATAAGAATATTAGGTCTTCAAACAACTCTCTACACGAATTCAAGCTCTGACTCGCCTAAATCCAAACCAAATCTCATAGTGATTGAATAGCAAACTATCATGGGTAAACTTGCCAATATACTCCAGCCCTAAATTCTTCAGCCTCTTTGTACATTCTTCTCCTCCCAATCGTGAACAAAACTTTATATTATGTGACACAAAGATTCGACCTTCTAAAGGTTTCAATTTACCAGCTAACCTCTCCAAACCAACCCAAACAAGTTTATCAGGCATATGAAGAAACACAGCGCTTGCATATATCAAATCATACATGGTTCCGGATCCAAATTTACTGAAATCCATGTCTTCACCTCTAACAATAAGAGGGCGCTTGTTTAATAAACCTTGAGCGGGAAGCTCATACCTGAATGCAGCCATTAAAGAAAGTTCATCTCTCTCGAGACAGTGGAAGTGTTCTGGGTTCAAATACCGGATGAAATGTAATCCAACACGAAGAGTCCCACATCCAATCTCAAGAACTTGGGAATCTGGAGTTAGATGGGCTGACTCCGCAAGGAATTCAAAAACATCCCGCCCTCCTGCCCATGGCTCTCCATAATTGCTATGGTGCTCTTCTACAAGGAGTTCACCAGGACAAGGAAGGGCAGTGTGATTATTTGCTTGTTCTCCTTCATAGTGTGATATGCCCTTGAACCTGAAAAAAACAGAGAAGTTCCATTAACATGCCAAGTTACAACTTACTAGCCACTAACGCTAGCACTTGATGAACACTTCAGACTGGAACCCGACTTGGGAAAAGGTAAATGATGGTTCATCAGGAAGTTGCAATAATACATATGTGAATGTAGAGTGAAAAGAAGATGAATAAAATTACAGAAAAAGAAGTAGTGAACATAAGTAAAGAAGAAACTAAAAAAAGGGTAGCCATTAGAGTCTTAAACGATTGAATATCCCAATAATTTTACTTTGATTTTGCCAAGCCATAGATTGTTCTTCATGCAAAAAAGAGGAAAGCACCTATTAAAGAATTCCCATTGCCTATCTGTGATTTGAACTACAGACATGTACGCATTATCTTTCAAAAAGAAAGGAAAGAAAGAGACAGAGAAAGAGGGCGGTGAAACCATAAGAGAGAAGAAGTTCCATTAAAATAGATATATGTTACTCGTTAGAGCTATGTTTCATGTTTTACCAATACTTCAAAAAGTTCAATCTCTTCTTAATCATCTATTTCTCCTTCTACAAATCAAAAACTAGCTGAAGGAAAAGAATAAGATGGAGCTCTTTCTTTTAGAGAGAAAATTAATATGGAACTTTCTGACTCATTGCCTTCTTGCTCATTTTCGATTCCCTTGCACATAGCCTTTGAAAAACACAAATGCTTATTACCATATAAGCCACTTATTATCTTTCTTTAAATATAGATCAAAGATTAAGTTAATCATATAATTTCGTCTACATTGTTTATCAATTTCCACCTATATTATTTTAAATAGATTATTGAAACTCTCACGAAGATCTAATTCAATAGTAAAAATCTAGAACACTTGAAACAAAACCGCCAAGTAGTAATTATACTAAAAAAGCATGAACTCGCAGATGCTTCGACTGGATATCTTTCTAACTTAATCTGCAGTCACTTAGTACTTCCTAAGAATAAACAAATTCCAATAAAACCACAAAACTATCATGAAGTTCAACAAAATTACAGAATTTACGAGCAATCACACTAAAGGCATGATCTTTTTAACTGCTAAATCAAATGAAACATAAATTGGAAAAGTTTCATACTGAAGTAGATCCTGGAGCTGTTGTTGGCGAGTACGAGGGTTGATCCCTTTGCGCAGCACATTGTCCGCCATATGGAGTCCATTTCCCTCGATCTGTTTCTTCACCCATTCTATATCCTCTATTGTCGTCGAGATCCTCTCTCCGGCGCCGGATCTGGATCCACCAACGGCGGCGACAGTGGTGGTTGTTGGAGTGACGAGGCAATTACACGGAGCTGGAGGTGGTGGTGAGGAGAAAAGAAAGAAGAGGAGTACTGCGGAAAAGGCGGCGCCGGTGAGAACCAGCACCGGCAGAGATATTACCACTCCTTTCGATGATGATGATAGTAGAGCCATGAGAGTAAGTGGCGAGATATCTCTGCCTTACTGTATTTTGTTGTAGATTTTGTAGTTCAATAATGGCAGAGAGTGCTACGAGCTTTGCATCTATTATACCACGTGTTTAACAGATTGTACTCTTACCTTTTATTTTCTCCACGATACGATTGTACTCTTTACATTGACAGGATAATTTTGGGCGTGTTTTACTAGGTTCATTACTTTGTACTATAATATTTATCTGAGAAAATTAAATGTAAAATATGGTGGTATGGGTCGAAATCTGACCAAGAATTTGCGTGAAGAGGAGCGGCAAAACGTCACTTGGGCCGAAATCGTATTCGTACAATGTTATAGCGACAAACACCTCGGCTCGTGTACTCAGAATGTTTGTACGATGAATTGGATGTTACGGCATTTCATAGGGTCAATCTGTAATATAGATAAATGACGTAGGTACTCTGGCTAATGACCGTTGTGTAAATGAAAATACCTAGTATATATACCAGGTGAGAGAACAAAAGGGGAGTGTTTTCAGAAATTATACACTTCTTCGCTAACAAGGAATGAGAATTGGAGAATCCATCTCGAAAATGAGAGAAGGTTCACAACTTTGCTATTCATTTTGTGTAGCCATCGTTATGGAATAAATAAAACATACCTTGTGGTCATTAATGGCGAATTCTTTCTTTTTTCTTTATTTTACATTGTGGAGTAACAATGTCGAGAATGAATATAAGCTCATCATATACATTAGATTTCTTCCATTATTTTAATGAGTTCATGAGCTTAACCTTACTCAACTTTTCTTACTTATCATTCATTAATCTAGAGTTAATTATTTTTGGCTAGGATATAATCCTTATCTATTCATTAAATTGATTTAGCTAAAAAGGGCTCTTAACACTTTTTGGTCAAACATTTATTGAACTTTTATATAGGCTTATAAAATCATCAAACTAATTTTTATAGCAAAAGAATTACCACGGTGAGATCTACTCATTGATTTTATATAAGATGAGCGGTCGTACTATGATTGTTCCGGAGGATTCAAAAGAAAGGCGAAGGGTTTGGCAACAAGCAAACGGCTTTCTATCATAGTTGCAGGGGTTCCAAGCCCTTCCCCTAGAATAAAGGGTAATAAAAATCTTTCTCCACCCGTTCAAGGAAGCAAAAATAAAAGCCCACTTTTACGCGAATCTAGAGAGGAAAAAAAGCAAAAAGCTATTTTCGTTCGATCGACGGAATCAATCGTACTTTCACTGTTGTGGACCGGCTTTCATAAAGCACCGGGACGCTAAAGAGATGGCTATGAGACTAGTGCAATCAGGTAATCCTTCCTAACCGACCCTTGCATGCGTGGAAACTTAAACAGGGCTTGAAGGGAGAAAGTACAGTCTCCTCTTCTGTTCCGCTTTCTTCTGCTCACCAAATCGTGCATGAAATCAAAGACCCTTGATACGTATTCTCCGCCGGAGTTCAGACCTCAACCTCTTGATCTGGAGAGTCTCGTACCCTTCTAATCGGAGAAGGTGCATTTCCTTCAACCTTTATGCTTTTCAACTTGATCAGCTTTTCCACAGCAAGGAATTCTTTATTTTGGCCCATTGCCGATCATGTGGTCAGTTTCCCTGCTTTCGATTCAGACCAAGATTGACTTATTATTCCTCCTCGTCCATCCTTCTCACGGAGCCGTACGTGGACGTTACCGCTCCAAGTCTCCATGGTCGTTCTTTTTAACATCTCTCTCCTAGCCAACAAGCAATTAGCCTTCCTCTACAAGGAATGGAAGTGTACTTTCACAATGTATAGCTTAGAATATCAATTAGTCAAAGCCAACCTTCATAGTAAGGGAGAAATTATAAAATAGCCAGATTTACAACTGGTCGTTCAAAAATAGCCCAATTTTAAAAGTAATCGAAATTTAACCACTTTTCATGTAAAGATAAATCTGGGCGAAAACACTGTTCAAAACCCGGAAAATACGCCAGTATATTATACTGGAGTTCCAGCATAAGTATGCTTGAACTCCAACATATTATACTGGAGTTCCAGGATAAGTATGCTGGAACTCCAACATAATATAATGGAGTTCCAGCATAAGTATGCTGGAATTCCAGCATAAGTATACTGGAACTCCAGCATAATATACTGGAGTTCCAGTAAGTATAATTGTCCAGTATAATATACTGGAGTTTGGAGTACCGGTGCTCCAGTCTCCAGTATATTATACTGGAGTCAGCAAAGTATACCGGTCCAGCATAATATGCTGGAGTTCATACACAGGTGCACCAAACTCCAGTATATTATGCTGGACCGGTCTCTGTTACAGCAAAATAGTGGCTATTTTTCATTGACTTCGTAAACGCTGACTATTTTTAAATAACCAATCCGAAATCTGGCTATACCGTGCTATTTTTACTCATAGTAACTCACCCAAAATCATGAATTCATAGAGATTTCAAAGTCTTATTAGGAATTGGAAATTAGGAAGTTAAAATAAAGCTTCGATCCTTTCAATAGTAGGATTTAAGTTGGGCTTTAAAATTACACGTCTTGCAAATTTGTGAGGACAAAAAATCTTTTGCAAATACCCACTCGCCACAAACTATTTTTTCGTCCTTACTCATAAAGTTTTCCTCTTACCCATTTTTTTTAATGTCCAACCCGTCCAATTAAATAAAGTCAAACTAAGCTACTAAAATTAAGACAAACAAAGTCAAGCCAATTCAATTCAAATCAAGCTAAACCGATCCAAGCCAAATCAAGCTATGTTAAGTCAAATGAGTAAGAAAAGTGGAATGAGTAAGTAGGTTGGGTAATTAGTTTTAATTGGATAGATATATATTGTAACTAGTTTTCAAATAATTAGAGATGGGTAATTAGTTTAAGCTGATTTTGCATAAATTGTTGAGCCGAAGCATCTCTTTCATTGGCGAAGTGCACAAAGAACTATTCTTAAGAATGCTATGCAAGAATTAGCCAATACTTATTTTGTCTTGAAATTTTGAATTGAAAATTTTAATTTCAGAATAATTCAAACTATTTGTGTTCCGAAAAATTGAATTGAAAAACTAAAATTCATGACGTATTAACTAATTCCTATATAACATGTCGTTAGAGTTGCTACCTGATTTCACGTTTACCTTTTTATGTGATCAACCGCTGATTTTTCGATATAGAATTGGAAATAAAAAATTGCATCTTATTTTATTTTGCAACAGATCCAAAAAGACAAGAAACGAATGATCTGTGTTCACGAATACTTTGTCTTATTTTTCGAGCAAGTTTAGGCTTGGAGAAGCCTTAAATTAGAGGCATTTGTAAATTGAAATACCTAAAAAATCTAGATTATATTATAAATTCAATATATATATATATATATATNGATGAAATTATCAAATTTATTTTGAAAAAACATGAAACATGACTGTTTACCCTAAAAATTGGATAACAATTAAACTTATAATGTGATTTTAAGGATACGTGGTTTCACCTAATATCAATTGATAAATGTAAAGATAAATGATGAAAATTGACAATATATGGCAAACCAACATTTGGAAAGAACCCTCGAGCTTGAATACCCTTGAGCTAGTTATGCAAGAACGATAAAAACGCAACAAACTGATAACAAGAGAATGTAAATTAAAGAGAGAATATTGTATTGCTTTTATCTGTGTGAACGTAAGGTGTCTACAAATGATGAGGACTCCTCTTTATATAGTAGAGGAATCCTAATTATGGTATAACTTTAATTACATAATTAAATATCATGATTAGCCTAACACAACCACCCTTGATTTGATCTGTTCTGGGATTTCCACCGAAATCCTCGATCGGTTGCGGATATCTCGCATTTCCGTTATTGCGCTCTGTTCAAAGTCGGTCATATATGGTTTCAATCGTTGTTGGCCTCGATCTCGATGAGTACCTCAATTCTCGAGCTTGATATTTTATCTTCGTGCTCTGACCTGATCTCGATTAAATGGCAAAATCGGGCAAGCCTTATTTTAACCGTATACAGATAGTCCCCTTATTTCTTGGAGTGTAATGAGAAGAAACGAACTAAGCCTTCAATTTTATACCTCGACCAGTTATGATGTCACCCTTGTGACGTAAGTGACAGAAGCGATCGAAGCGTCGCATCAGTACAATTTCCAAGATCATTAATGAGCGTCAGTTGATGGTCGGCCACTAGTGCCTTTGAACCGTCACCGTGAATCCTTAAATAGGTCTTCTTCTCACTTCTTTAACCTTTACTTTGAATTTTTCTTGCACTAATCTTCAAAATCCTTTTAAGTTTTTCAAGTCTTTCTACAACCCTTCAAATTTCTTCACATCTAATTAAGCCTCTCCGTTATTGCACAGTTTATAGGCCTCGTTACCAACCTTTCTTCAAAACTACAAATCTCATCTTCTTCTTTCTCTGAATCCATATAAAAATGGCAAAAATATCAAAAACCATTCCTCAAAAGGAGAAAGCTTCTTCATCGCGGCCGACCGGCGATAAAATGCCAGTAGAGCCACGCATTGAGGAGTGTATTCTCGGGGTGTGCGATATTACTTCCGATTTCAAAAATGAGAAACCCTCGTATGTCCCTGGCCGATGTGAGCCAATGTCGAGGTATATATGCTCGATAACTGAGGGAGATCTTAAGCAGGTAAAGAAAGATTGCCATTGGGAAGGCAAGGAGGTGGTGATTCCGACCCCTGAAGAGGACATCACTACTTACGTGAAAAGGTTCTTAAGTGTTTACACTTACCCTTTTATGTTGGATCCCGTCGATCCTGTTATCCTCGATTTCTGCCGCCAATATTGAATAACCCTAGGCCAGATCCATCCTTCTTTCTGGCGCATTGTCATTTTTCTTCGATTCTTCGTGAGTAAGGCGAAGGGATGCCTTTTAACCTCGACCATCTAATTAGACTGTACAGCCCTCGTCTTTATTGACGCGGATTTGTTACATCTCACATTTTCGTGCGTTAAAGTTTCGTCTTCAGTTAACCGATGTAGACTCAGGGATGAGATTATCTTGAGGTTAACGTATTTACGCTATTCATAACAAGCGATAAGCAAGTGTCAAGAAGGATAAAAGATACACAAATTAAAAGAAACGAGTTTC